AAAGATTGACAGTATGGGAGGAGTGCAAAATGCAAGAATATACAAGAATATGCAAGAATTTGACTCAAAAACAACATTGAACTTTGGTTTACCATTGGTGTTTCTCCGGAAAGCTTAACAATGTTGATAGATGGAAAAGGATTGCTTCAAAGAATTTACCTGTCCTGGTGTCATCCTCTTCAAATAATATCCGACTAATTTCCTTGTATTCGTTATGTTTTTCAGGACATTATCGTCAGAAATAATTGTGACGATTGTTCGCTTCTTTGAGCCGATCGTTGTTTCTGAATAGTTATTTGCTTTTGGAATTGGAATTGTCATGGAATTGTCCCAGTAACTTAAGCAGTTAAGTATTCAGTCAGCAATCCAGTAACCGATACAATACTGGAATCTAAAGAATACTGGAATCTAAAGAATACTAGAATCTAAAGAATACTGGAATCTAAAGAATGCTGGAATCTAAAGAATGTTGGAATCTAAAGAATGTTGGAATCTAAAGAATGTTGGAGTCTAAAGAATACTGGAATCTAGAGAATACTGGATCTAAAGAATACTGAATAGCTTTACTCTAGTGAATTTAAAGAATCACGCATCTACAGTGATGTCCTGTGTCTCGAAACGGCTTGCAAAACACTTTTTACTCTAGCTAACAAGAGATTCAAACCTTACATTACCTTTATTACAGCTACGACACTTCAAAGTTATAGTATTTTTATAAATTATACAAATTTGATTACCTCTATCATCGGTTCCAAGCAATTCCACCGAAAACGTTTCATCTTTTTCATCTTCTTTGTCATCGAACACCTCGATATCAATATATTTCTCATACTCCTGACCTCTAAAATTCTTTCTATATGATTTCATTTTCTTTGTGATTTACCTAAACTGCAAACTTGCATTCTTGTGTGGCGCGTAATCCGACTGAGCATTTGCCGTGATGTCCTCTGTCTCAAAACGGACGCCCAAATCGTGTGGGGATTTGGTTTTTCCTCTTCTTGAGACAAAGACACGAACCCAGCCACAGTTCTCTTTGCAAACCTAAAAATATGAATTTTGGAATAAATACTTTCCATATTATGCATATAGACAAAAAATCCTAGACTGATTAAACTGTTCAGAAAGTCTTTTTGTTCCTTTCGTTTAAAACATAGCGTACTCAATTGTAAACCAACATGTTTAGCTAACCAACATGTTTAGCAAACAAATAAGTGTTCAAAACTCACATAGTTGCTCTTAACAAACTCGACGTTGGGCACCCCAGTGAACGAGTTCGATTCATCCGGACAACGCACTCGAGCCACATTGCACTCGCCAAGTTTTGTCTTGTCACCGTCTTCTTGTTCCTGAATCCTTTATTGTAAAGCCTTTATTGTAAAGTCTTTATTGTAAAGCCTTGATTGTAAAGCCTTTATTGTAAAGTCTTTATTGTAAAGCCTTTATTGTAAAGCCTTTATTGTAAAGCCTTTATTGTAAAGCCTTTATTGTAAAGCCTTTATTGTAAAGCCTTTATTGTAAAGTCTTTATTGTAAAGCCTTTATTGTAAAGCCTTTATTATAAAGCCTTTATTGTAGCTCTTTTATTGTAGCTCTTTTATTGTAAATCCATTTTAGATTTCGAGAATTCGAGAATTTTTAGAATACTTACAACAATCTTGAGATGAACATAGAAAACGGTGTTCGGTCTCCAATCAGCTCCATCTACCAGATCAATCGTGATCTCTTTTGTTGTCTCGTGCTCAGCAAAACGAATATTTTCAATCTAAAGACAAATTTGCAGATGAATTGTTATTATATGTAAATTACTTTTGGCAAATAGTGTAGATCTTTCTTCGCAATCCCGTCAACAGTACTGTAGTTGATGGTTAGCGCTTTGTCTGAGATTCCACGACGTTCCACCTGAAGTTTAAGCTTTAAAATAGATGCAGAACAGATCTAGAACAGATCTAGAACATGATACTTTATAAGTTTACTTTAAAAATTACAATTTAACAATACTTACAGTCAACTTCACTCTCTTGTCACCTTGTTGCACCGCGTAAACCCGAGCCGAGAACTCGACGCGTTGCTTGAGAGCTGAAAATTAGCAAGTTTCTGAAGTTTCTGAGGCCGAAATCTGATCAACAAAAGAAAGTTTGATCTTTTCTTTTCCATACCCTGCACAGCTGCATCCGGAGCCGTTTTCTGTTTCTCTTCGATTTCCTCAACCTCTTTTTCCGAATCGCTTTTCTTCCAAGATGACGTCATCTCACGAATTGCTCGAATACGATAGTAAAGACGATCGTGAACCTGAAACTTGTCTTACTAAACAGATTTTAGTAAGAATTATAGGTATTATAAGGTTATATCTTCACATTGTGCAAAATTCAAAAGTTCATAACAGCTATTCTAGTTTAATCAATTCTAGCTATAGCCATTAACAAAAGTTAATGGCTCTACTCAGAGTTCTTTTCAAGGATAATACAAGGCTGTATACGGCTAGATGATGCAATCATACACTGAATGATAAATACTACTTATGCCTAGTCAACTTGTGGGTCTGATAGCCTTTTATTATGCTCCCAACCTTGTTCTTGTTGAGTCGATACGCGAGGATTTTTGCCTGATCCTCGGCTTCGAGCGCTGGATACACTTTAGCCACATCTCTCGCCATTTTTCTCACATCCTCTGTGTCGGGAGTTGGCAGTGCGTCCATAACTGACTAAAAATAACTTTCGAAAAAGCAAACCTCCATTTCCCACCTCTCCATCACAGACACTCAATCTCCTCGCGACATTCTTGATCTCAACATCCAACTTCTGAGACGCTTTCTTTGGTTGAACGTCCTGGAGTTTGGCTTAAGATGGCTAGAGTTTTGTGATCTACCTCGATGTCTTGCAATTCCGTCTCCAAATTCGCTTTCTTGTTCTTATTCCAAATCTCGATATCAGCTGAATAAGAGGCAGCAACGAGAATGACAAAGAAGAAAAGAGTGAGGAAAGCCTCCCAAACATCGACAACATTCGGGGTGATCCAGGATAAGATCTAGAATTGAATTTTGGCTGTTTCAAGTGCCAAATGACAGCATTTTCTTTGAACTCACGATTAGCAGCCAAATATAGGCAAATGTTCCAAAGAAAGCCGTCACACAAAACACTTTAAACATCGCGATTCTCTTTGTTTTGTTCCCGACGGCCAAGACACAAATGGCTGAGATGCAGAAGAGATTGAAAGCAGCAGATCCTGAAATCGACTGATTATATGAAACACAACAATCAGGTATAGTCATTAGCAGAATATCAACATGTTTAGCAAGCTTTATAGAGCTTGATTATCTCTCGTAGAAGTTAGTTTACAGATCTTGTTGTTTTAGGAAAGCAGGATCGAAACAAATTGTTATTAGGCTTTTCAGAAAGTATTTTTGTTTGGCTGTAGATGTTTGGCTGTAGATGTTTGACTGTAAAAGTTTGGTTGTAGATGCTTGGCTGTGGATGTTTGGCTGTAGATGTTTGGCTGTAGATGTTTGACTGTAGATGTTTGGCTGTGGATGTTTGACTGTAGATGTTTGGCTGTAGATGTTTGACTGTAGATGTTTGGCTGTAGACGTTTGGCTGTAGATGTTTGACTGTAGATGTTTGGCTGTGGATGTTTGACTGTAGATGTTTGGCTGTAGATTTATTATATCCAAATCTTCCTACCAACGATCGTTCCCGGTCCCAAGTCTCCTGCATGAAAGTTGTTCCCGACAATCTCGATGCACGAGAGAAGAATCTCTGGCGCTGAACTGCCCAAGGCCTAAATTTATGCTGTTTTATTTATGCTGCTGTTTAATGGAATCTTTTCTGTATCCTTTTAATACCAACCATTAGTGTTAGATTGGCCACAGTGGGATTCCACACTCGAACTTCTTCATACTCATCAGAATCGGGTTGATGAGCCGAGTCAACGAGTTTTCCAGCCTCTTGTTTTACTTTTATTTTCCTGAAAAATAAAATGATTAGTTAGAGGTTTAAAAACTGTAAGCTATTAGTCTCTACTTTAGAATATTGTAGTGAATAACTAGAAGAACAACTAGAACCGTTAGAACAGTCGACTAGAAGAACAACTAGAACAGTCGACTAGAAGAACAACTAGAACAGTCGACTAGAAGAATAACTAGAACAGTCGACTAGAAGAACAACTAGAACAGTCGACAAGGAGAACAACTAGAACAGTCGACTAGAAGAACAACTAGAACAGTCGACTAGAAGAATAACTAGAACAGTCGACTAGAAGAACTAGAACAGTCGACTAGAAGAACTAGAACAGTCGACTAGAAGAACTAGAACAGTCGACTCTTTCTATAACGGAATGAAAGAGACCAAAAAAGCTTTCCATTGTATAGAGCTTTCCGTTATATAAAGTGCCGTTTTATATAGTTTAACGTCGGCTGAGACAAAAATTTCATTCCGTTATATAGAGTTTTCTGCTATATAGAGCTTTCCGTTATATAGTTCCGTTATAGAGAGTCGACTGAGTTATTATTTAAACTATTTAAAAACAAAGGCTTTGTTCGTTTTACAACCGGATATAGGTTTATGGTTGTTTTGAGGGAATGAAGGGAGATCAAAGGACTCTTTGAAGGAAAGAGATTGTGGTTGGCTTTATTAATACTGGTTTTGCTAGAGCTGATAGCTGAAAGTTGTTGAGCTTGATATAATATAATAACAAAACATATAATAATATACAGCCGACTCTCTCTATAACGGAATGAAAGAGACCAAAAAAGCTTTCCATTGTATAGAGCTTTCCGTTATATAAAGTACCGTTTTATATAGTTTAGCGTCGGCTGGGGCCAAAATTTCATTCCGTTATATAGAGCTTTCCGTTATATAGTTCCGTTATAGAGAGTCGACTGTATTTGGTAAGCCAAGCATAAACATTGATCTCTCTCCAGCTCTTCCTCACTTCGTTTTCGATGTGATCTTCTCAATCGCACACATGAAGATATCAGCAGCTATCGCTATCCCAAGAAAACAATAAAAAAGACCCAACAAATAGAGGAAAGCATTTCCATTTGTTGTCCTCAATGCGGGAATGATTATCCCATCTTTGCATTGCATTGAGGTGTTCACCATCTTGAATCACCCACTTTGCCTCAAATTGGTTATGAAGCTGGAGAGGTTTTTGGTTTACACCTGAAAATAAAACAGGATTTGTGAAACAAAAATGAAACAGCAAAATATCTAAAAAATAAACTAAAACATTTTTAAAAGCAATTAAAGAATCAACTTGAATCAACTTGAAGTTTCAAAATTTCAGTCCTTGAAAAGAAAATGAGTCACATAGGCGTTAGAGTTGATTTTTTCAAGTAGCGTTTTTGTAAAAAGAAAATTTGAGAGAATTTCTGGAAAAGAACATTTTCATTGCGTGAAAAACGTCAGCAAACCTATTTTTTTCGAAAAAAATGTGAAGATTTACATTTTTGTGATGGGTTTTCGTGTTCAGGGATGACTCGATAAATAGAGAAAGAGGAAAACGATAAAAATTTGTTGACTTTTAGAGATGATCAAAGTAAACAAAAATTCTGGATAAATCATTGCTTGAAAATTTTGGGATAGGTAAACACTTTTGCAAGAGCTTTTGAGCTTTTGAAAGATTTGAGGCAAGATAGAACGCTTGTATTGGGTTGGTGAATTGAAAACTGCGGGCTATTGTCATATGTGACAGTTTGAGCACTTTCTTCAAAAGAAACTCATTTTGGTGTCAATGGAAAAGTTGTAGAGAATCAAAAATTAAGCTTATTTCCAAATTTTCAGAACGATTCAAAAACTGGTTTTCAAAAAAATGCCAAATTTACGAATTTTCACAAAACTTGCAACAAAACTTGCATTTTAAGCGAAACTACTAAGTGTATCTTTTTGGAAATTTGGCTATAAGCCTAATTTTTGATTCTCTACAACTTTTCCATTGACACCAAAATGGGTTTCTTTTGAAGAAAGTGCTCAAACTGGGAGTCCAGTCCTCCATTCTCAAAGTCCAGTCCTCCATTTTTGAGTTTCTTCTTTCAATTCATCAAAGCATCCGTTCTATTGGGTTGATGGAAAAGTCCTTTCCGATTTTTTGGGAGAGTACCTTAAATTTATCCAATTTTGACGTTTTATAGCTCATCCTAAAGCTGAATTCAAGACGGATCGATTGGTAAAAACCGTTTTGAGATATCTCTTTTCTAAAAGTTTTTACAGCTATTTTAGTAAAGGGCGGCAGAGCCAAAAAATGGCTGTTTTCACGTTTCGTTAGTTTTCCGTGCAGAAACTTAGGCTAAAAACATGTGTTTCGTGATCAGCGTCAAAAATAACCCCTAGACACGCTTTTTCAGTTTTGCCCAAAAAAATCCTTTTATAGAAGCGTGCCTCGTTTTCGAGATGCGGAAATTTCAATACCGTTTTTCCCGAAAACTAGCAATCCTTAACAAAATCCGAAAACACCATTGTATTGGGTTGGTGAATTGAAAACTGCGGGCTATTGTCATATGTGACAGTTTGAGCACTTTCTTCAAAAAAAACTCATTTTGGTGTCAATGGAAAAGTTGTAGAAAATCAAAAATCAAGCTTCTATTCAAATTTTCAGAACGATTCAAAAACTGGTTTTCAAGAAATGCCAAATTTACGAATTTTCACAAAACTTGCATTTTAAGCGAAACTACTAAGTGTATTTTTTTGAAAATTTGGCTATAAGCCTAATTTTTGATTCTCTACAACTTTTCTAACTTCGAATATCTCAAGTTCCTACTAGAAACTAGAGTTGTGACGAAAACAGTTTTGCTGTTGACAATTTAAGGTTTTTCCCAGCACCAACCCTTTGATTTTGACTATTTTGACTATCATTCGATTCAGAATAAAATTGCGCGTCGAATGATACCAAAATTAACTTAAAATATAATATCCACGCAAAGTTATGAGACAAAAACCTAAACCCCGCCCATTATGCACCGGACTTAACCTTTTGTCTCATAACTTTACGTGGATATTATATTTTAAGTTGATTTTGGTATCATTCGATGCGAAATTTTATTCTGAATCGAATGATATTTAAAATAGTCAAAATCGAAAGGTTAGTGCTGAGGAAAACACGAAGAACCTTAACTCGCCAACGGCGAAAAGATCGACAGATTTTGTTACAAGTTTACTGAAAATCACAGGCTAAAAGTATAATCAGCTAAAGATAATAAAGGTTTTTGGCATCATTTCGGGTTCGGACCAACATTTCGGCTAATCAATCAACCTCCTGTCACGAAATTTTCACTTCACTAAAGAGAAAAGAGATTTTCTAAATCTATAGCCTATAGAAAGACCTATAGAAAGAGAAAGAAAGAAAACCTATAGAAAGAGAATCGATAGCCACACTTTTCTAGTCTTTATAGATCTATAGCCACACTTTTATAGCCTTTATAGGTCTATAGCCATGCTTTTTTAGCCTTTATAGGTCTATAGCCACGCTTTTTTAGCCTTTATAGATCTATAGCCACGCTTTTATAGCCTTTATAGCCACGCTAAACCTTCTTTAACAATTCAAAGCCATTAAAAAGAAATTCTGAAAATACGGTTACTCGATAAAATTTAGAAAGATGCAGAAAGAAAAAAGGAAAAATTAAAAATCGACTTTGATTCCTTGTAACTATTGCTAAACTTGCATGAACTTTTGCAAAAAAAGCTTCCAATAAAGTAGAAAAGCTTTTCTAGAATCTTTTAAGATTCAAAAGTACAACTAGAGTAAAAAAAAATGTCATAAAATTTGTTTTTAAAATCACTTTTTCTGGGTAGCGGTTTTTCTTTTCTCTTTTCGGCGACTTGCCAAAAAGCAAACAAAAAGGAGTACAAGCGAAGAGGAAAATTGAGGAATTCCTTTGGAGTTTTTTGAGGAAAAAAGGAAAAGAAAGTAAAAGAATCGATTTCAGCCACTTTTTCGTCTCTTTTGGCGTTCTTTTGCTCTTTTTCTGTTGTTACTAGTTAGTTTTTCTTTCATCATCCAGTGTTTTCCAGTCAAGCTATAATATATAGCGACTCATAAAGCTTTAGAAAATTTAAAATCCATAAATTCCATAAAATCTTCTAAAATATTGTAAAAATGAAAATTTCAAGTACGTTTTTAAACAAATAAATCAGAAAATTTATATTTTTGGCGTCGAGACAGAAATTTTGATTTGTTGCAATCAAATTTTGATTTGTATCTAAACTAAAACAATATAAATTGTTAATAAAGAGCAATAAAAAGAGCAAAACAATAAAGAGCAATAAAAAGCTGAAAATTTAAGCTACAACTAACTAAATAAGTAGTAGAAACTAATTAGATAACTTTAAAATCAAGCTTTAAAATCAATTTTAGTCTTTAGAATCAATTCTAGTCTTTAGAATAAGATTTAAATGTGGAAAATTGTTGTAAAAATGTTTTATAATAAGTTCGACCGCAAAAGGCTTTGTTTGTTCATCGATTTGGGAACACTTTTTGTCAAATTTCAATTCGAATGTACGAAAATTTGAATGTAAAAAGCTTTCTTTGTCCCTTTCTCCAAAACAAGCAAGTCTCGTGGGAGTTGGATTTCGAAAAAATGACTAGCAGAGTTTAGCTAAATCGTTTTTATTGCAAATTGTATCGCAATACAAATTGTAATATTGGGTTGGTGAGTTGAAAACTGCGGGACTTTGAACTAAAATTTATTCAACATAAAACCATCAATTCATTCCAAATAATTTCCATTATTATTGACGACTTCTGCCCATTTTACAGGCAATTTGCGGATTCCTCTTTCGTAGTAGGATTTTGGTTTGTGTGTGAGACAAGTGTGAGACTCAAAAATGGAGGACTGGAGATGTCAGCTGTCAGCCCAGTTTGAGCACTTTCTTCAAAAGAAACCCATTTTGGTGTCAATAGAAAAGTTGTAGAGAATCAAAAATTAGGATTATAGCCAAATTTCCAAAAAGATACACTTAGTAGTTTCGCTTAAAAGGAAAGTTTTGTTGCAAGCTTTGTGAAAATTCGTAAATTTGGCATTTCTTCAAAACCAGTTTTTGAATCGTTCTGAAAATTTGGATATAAGCTTCATTTTTGATTCTCTACAACTTTTCCATTGACACCAAAATGGGTTTCTTTTGAAGAAAGTGCTCAAACTGTCACATATGACAATAGCCCGCAGTTTTCAATTCACCAATCCAATCCAAATGCAATTTAAAAATCGTTTGTAATGCTAAATTGCTAAATTGCAATTGCACAGAGTTTTGGCTATGTAAAGCTACGTAAAGCTTTCAAAGAATCAGCTTAAATATTTGATGAAACAAACAAAAAAGGAAATCTCTTCAAAAGTGTTTAAAGAATGACAGCAAAGATTGAAAGAGGCGTCGAAAATTGGTCAAAAGGCTTAGGTTTACATAAAAAGGCGATTTGCATCAAAGTCTAACCGATTTGGGTGTTTGAAGTGTGCATTGATCGAGAATAAAACCCTATTCTATTCTTTGTTTGATCGTTCTCCTATTTGTACAGGCCCTCAGCATCGGGTGCCTCTTTGGGATCAAATATATGTATCGAATACAACAAATTATTAGTGTTAGTACAAGAATTTGCTATTCAAAAAAGCTATTTTATAGACTTAAATGAGAATTGAATATTTGAATGGATTGAATGGGATTGGAAATGGGTAAAAACGAGAATCTAAAAGTTTGAGCTGGGTTTTTGAGGACTAATGGAATGGAATTTGAAAGGAAACCTTTAAAAGAAGGCACTTTAGGGTCGATTCTTGATGAAAATTGCTCTAACATTTTCATCGAGAATCTAAAATATAGGTTAAAGTGTTTTAAAAGGTCAAAATAAGCCTAGAAACAATAAAAACGATCCGGCTGGAGTCATGGGAATCTACCTAATTAATCTACCGACGTTAAGTATCCAAAAGATTCGATGACAAAAGAGGCTGAAATTGATGAAAATTGGTTTTCTAGTTGAAATCTAGTTTAAGAAATCTAGTTTAAGAGATCTAGTTTAAGAAATCTTGTTGAAAAATCTCTAATTACAAAGGAAAACTATGGTCCGTATTGGAACCGTATTGGAACCGTCTTAGATCAAAATAGGAACCTTATTGAAACCGTAT